ATTTTGTATCATTCATCGCAATCAATTTTGTTAACTATATTGTTATATTGTATATTTTTAAGATTTGATTATTGTTTTAAATAATATTGTAATCGATGAGCAATAAAAATAAATATTTTCCAAACTATTTGTCGTATAATTTTGTTTGATAAATAATTTTAATGCAAATTTGTATTGTTTTGAGAGGAAATGATAAGCCAATTGTAAAATAGACGCTATTATTGATTTAAATTTGTTGCAAATGTTGTGAAAATAAGGCTAAATGACATCGAAATTGTTTTTTGGAAATATGATTAATACTTTTGATTCAATGACTTATAAATTAATTTATAATGTTTTATATAAATTTCTAACTGACTTAAATAATTTAATATTGAAAAGTCTAGTATATTACAAAAATTACTGATTCATTTATATAAATTTTATTCTAAATAGTAAAATATACTAGACAAGAATATAATTATTTCGTGTACAGTATTACTGTATATAACTTTTTATTTATATTATATAATAAATTGATTGGAGGTTGAATTAATTAAAAATTTTCCACTCCGTTAAATAAGATTTACTATACCTAGCAAATTGTAGGCAAAGTTAAAGTCATTTATAAATTATAATTAGTTAGCGAATTACAAACGTCTAAGAATTCATTAGCGGATATAATAAACACTATATTCATTCAATAAAACAATTTCTTAGTATACTAAACAATTTTCTCATATAAATTATTCTGGTAATTGAATATTAATATGCTAACTTATATTAAATATACTGTTTATAAATAGTGAATTAATTATGATAAAGAGTTAGATGTGCAATATACATTATAATATTATTATTTATATTATAAGACACATTATATATTATTTTTAATATTATTTTCGCTATAATTATGGGCCAATTGGGAGACGTGCCATACGACATGAGACATCAAATTTGGTTTAATTGCAATAAAACTATAATAATTTATAGCTATTTAGTTCACAGGAACCTATGAACTCGTGAATCTCTTACGTCTCTTATATCTCTTATATGAATACTTACATAACGATTGAATAAAAAAGTAAAATATTTTAAATAAAAAACATTTTGATAAGAAGTGAATCGACAGAAAAATTGTCGGTTTAATCTTGATTTACACCATTTTTTTATAATTAAACAAAATAATTAGTAAACAATACGAGGAATCGTATGACGAAAACAAGTGAATCGCGAAATTCAATGATTAATGGAAACACAAAAATTGAGAGAAAAAACTCGCAATTCATGAATAAATAATACTTATAATTGTCAGATGATTATAATTGTAAATAATCGGGCACATCTATTGTCATTTAAACAAACAACTCTATAAGAATCGGTTCATTAGATTCTTGGGGACAGTTGTGTTATGATGGCCTATACCGCCAACAAGCAACAAATGACTGGTCACTTGAATCCAGCCCTACTGAACGACAGCAACGAAGACCTCGGATCTACCGATGATATTGAATACAGTCCTACGTTTAGGCGATCCCTGGTTTTGCCCTCTTTTCTCAAGAGTTTGACCGCTAATAAGACTAATGAGATTTCGCTGATTAACAAAACGGATGGACAGGACGTTAGGCCGCACTCAATACGAGATGTTTTCCCCAAAATAGACTTCTATGTGAAGGAGGATATCAAGGAAAGGCGGCCTAATCTGGAGGATCTTCATCTGCCACTGGAGTATAGGACTCAACAAAAGGTATTATCACTGAAATAAGTGTTAAACAGTTATTATTCCGTATATTAAAGGGAAGTATTTACTCAAATTCTGTACAGAATCGACAGAATGATAGCGAAGGTAACAGTCCTAAGGAGGCCGACCCTGGAGGTGAAAAGTTGGGTTGGATTGACGGCGTTTACGTAAATATATTTTCAATCATAACGCTAAACACGTTTGTAATTCTTGTATCACTAGATCCGGACAATGATGAACCTCTTCGGGGTTATGCTGTTTCTGAGGATGGGTTGGATGGCAGGGGAGGCCGGCGTCAGTAAGTCATCCATTTCTATATCAGTATAGTTTTAGACACATCATTAGTCTTGTATTTATAGGCAACTATTAATACTTGAAAAGCAAATGAAACTAATTGTATCACGAATTGTATGTTAAGTCTTAGCGTTGGTCCAGGTAATAGTGGCCACAATCGTAACAGTGGTGACCACCACCTCCATGATAGCCCTGTGCACTAATGGCGATATCGGTGGGGGCGGTATATACTCAATGATATCGCGATCGGTGGGCCACGAGGCGGGCGGTGTCATCGGCTTTATGTTTACGTTCACTAACGCGGCGTTTGTCGGCCTCAACGTCTTGGGCACCGCTTCCAGTGTCAGTGATATCCTAAACGTTAGTATCACTTATATGTTTGCATCCATTATCTCACAGAATATTCTATATTCTTGTGGACAGACGTTCGATGAAGGCATCTGCGAGCACCCATCGGGTACTAATGACATCCGGATCCTCGGCTACATATTCCTCATCGTCATAGCCGTCATCCCAATCATAAGCCTCGAGTTCGAGGCGAAGACAATGATGTTCTTCTTCGTGACACTCATTGTGTCGCTCATCGACTACTTCGTGGGCGCACTCATACCGCCCACGGAGTCCCAACAGGCGCAGGGGTTTGTCGGTTGGCACCGGTACGTCATCGTACCGAACCTGTTCCCCCGGTGGGACGGCTACAACTTCTTCGGCGTGTTCGGCGTATTCTTCCCGTCCGTTACCGGCATATTCACGGGCGCCAGTATGTCGGCCGACCTCAAAGACCCGGCTACCGCCATACCCAAGGGTACATTCTTGGCCATCGGCACCACGTCCACCGTCTACTCTATTGTCTTGATATTCTTGGGCTTCACAATAGTCGCCTACTCTGATGACGATCCCAGTAATATCGGCCTTAACAACGAGACCTGTACGGCCCCTAATGGCTGCCACAATGGGCTCATCAATAACTACCAGACTATGGCGCTGTCGGGCGCCATATCGCACACCGGTATCCTCATTGACCCCCTAATATACGCCGGTATTTTTGCGGCCACCCTGTCTTCGGCGCTGGGCTGTTATACGGCTGCCCCCAGAATATTCCAGGTCTTTATTATTCGCTATATTAATGGTCTAATAGTTTGTAAACTAATAATTATAATTAAGATTTTTTAAATGTATTGATGGGTAGGCCTTCTGCGACGACCATTTAGTACCAGTGATCGGTTGGTTCGGCAAAGGCTACGGTCCGGCCCGGGATCCCCGACACGGCTATATCGTGGTGTTCATCATAGGCGGCATTTTCGTGGGCATCGGCGACATTAACACGGCCGGCACCTGGATCTCAAACTTTTACCTAGGCGCCTTTTTCATGGTGAACTTCTCGCTGTTCCACGTGGCCTGGGTCAACCCGATCAGTTTCAGGCCTAGTTACACGTTTTATAATAAGTGGTGTAGCCTGATCATCGGCATATTCTGTATCGCGCTCATGTATTTGTTTGACCCTGTATCGGCGTCGGTAGTGTTAGGGCTCACTATCATTATCTATTTGCTTATGCTGTTCGTTGATCCAGGTTAGTTGAGCTTGTTACACGAGTTTATATATGAGTTGTTTGCATTTACAAATGTTGCTTGGTTGCTTTAAAGCAAAGGCCAATTGGGGCACATCTACCGAAGCGTGTTGTTTCGACTGCGCCCGTAGTATCACATACCGGCTCAACAGCCAGGAGGACCACGTGAAACACTACCGGCCCATGATTCTGGTGCTGTGCGGCAACCCCAAGAATCGCCAGGTGCTGGTGGACATGGCCAACCGGGTGACCCGAGAGCACGGCATGCTATTCCTGTCGCACGTGACGGAGGGTCCGCTATCTTATAAGACGAGAGAACGGGTGATCGACGGCCAGAAAGCGTGGATCAAATCGGAAAAGATTAACGCTTTCTACAAACTGGTTGAGTCGGAAAGCCTGGCCGACGGCCTCAGAAATCAGATCCACTCGACGGGTGTGGGAAAGTTTGCGCCCAATTGCGTGATGATTGGCTATAAGTCCAACTGGAAGTCCTGTAAAGACACCGATTTGTGCGATTACTATGACTGCATTCATAATGTCTTGGAGTCGCACCACTCGCTGATCATATTGCGGGTCAGGGAGGGTCTGGACTTCTCCGAGTACTTTGTATCGGCATTTGATAACTCCTTTACTGTCCAACAAATGGAGAATAATTTAAGTTAGTATTGATTTAAACGCATAATTTGTACCGGGGTATAAATATCGTATGCATTAATATTTAACACATAGGTGGTGGTGGCGGCGATATATACTCCATTTCCCGCGATGTCGACTCCCAGATCACCACCGATACCAATACCCGGCTCCCGCTCTCCCACATGGAGTGCCACCGGCTGTCCAATCGGTTCAAATACAAGCAAACGGCCGGTTATATCGACGTGTGGTGGCTGAGCGACGACGGAGGGCTGTCTGTCCTCATACCCTATATATTGAGAAATGATAGGCTTTGGAGGAAATGTAAACTAAGAGTATTCAGCGTTTCCGACGGCATCGAGGATACCATCGCTTTGAAAGACAAGTATTTATAGGAAATTAAAAGTTTTGTCAACTTTTGTGTATTAATGTATGATTTTGTTTTGTAAAAGTTTGTGTCAATTGCTGAATAAATTCCGGATCCCTTTCGCTGACGTATACGCCCTGTCCTACGATGACGTCGAGATATCGCACGAAACGTATGTTTGTTTCGCTTGTATGACAATAAACGGAGTTAGTATAAAGTTTTTCTTGTTTTATGCCCTAAAGTATCGAAAAGTTTGAGTCGATTCTGGAGGGATCCATAACCGACGACATCACGCCCGTCATCAAGACATCACCGAAAGAGCTCTTCTCATTCAAAGAACAGGTGAGACCTATTGGTTGACAATTCATGGGTACGAGCTGTGTGTTAACATGGTCACTTTTGTTTCAGACCAATAAAACTATGAAACTGCGAGAATTGCTACTCAAATACTCATCAAACTCTACATTAATAACTTTGTGAGTGTTGATAAGCGTGCAATTTATGTTTGGTACAAGGTGATATTTATGCTGAAAATTGACATGCATTTACAGGACACTACCCATACCTCGCAAATACAAGTGCTCGGCCACCCTATACATGAGTTGGCTGGAGGTGCTGACCTACGATATGCCGCCCCTATTGCTGATTAGAGGCAATCACGACAACGTCCTAACGTTTTATTGTTAAATATATTTGTTGCTGGATCCGATTTTCGTATTATTTTTTTATAACATACAATATTTCATTCAATAAAATACTAA